GAGAAGACAACGATCGAGAGAGAGGTGGGGGAGGGGAGGGGGGGTCCGATGGTTGCCGAAATGGCTTCCTCCCATCCTCATGAATCTTCCTCGACGAGTTTTCCTCTTTTCCGGCGGAAATCGCCGGGCGAGCTCCTCCTGGCGAGTCCGGGAGAGCGATTGTGACTGAAACTGGCCGGACGAAATCCCACGAATTCGCGCTTTGTCTCGATAAAAGGATTCGCGGAATTGCAACGTATCGATTTAGTACGCTCGCTTCGACTCTCGGTCTTCCGTTATTTCAATTTGTCGAACAGAATCGCGCAATTCCGCCCGAGTCTAATCAAGTTTCGTCCCGACGATAGAGCGTAAAGAAGTTGTAAAGTCATTTCTCAGACACTTACCTAAATGTGAATCGCGATGCCAGTGTCGCTAAATCACGCTGAATCCGATTTTCATCCCGCGCGTCTTTTTCTTCCCTTTAATTCGCTCCGCAACGATACGCCGTTTCCCCCGAAAGTTAGACAATCGAATTTATGACGAAAATACGCGTCGCTGAACAGTTCCTTCGCGCTAAAGAGATACAGCAATTCGGCAGCAGACAGCTGCATTTAACATGAAATGCGCGCGACGGGAGAAACTGTAGTCACGAACAAACGGCTCTTTATGCGCGATTGTTCGACGTTGTGTCGCGATTCGCGCGGACTAATTACGCGGACGTGCAGTTCGTCGCCCCCTCAGCCCCCCTCAGCACCATGCCAAGGGGGCGGAGACGGGCGTGTTTGCGGAGAGCCTCAAACCAGAGACGCGACCCTCCGCGCAATCCGCAGGATCAATCGATCCTCGATTCTTGCGCCGCGGCCGGGATTGTCTCTGCCGGGAAATCAAGTTGGGCTTTGTTTTGCGCCACCGAGGATCGATCCCATCCCGCACACGAACTGCGCCGCGTCGCGTCCGGATAAATTGCGAGCGTATAAATGCTCCGTTCGTCGACGACGACTCATTGTTCGCGCGCACGTTCGCTTTCATACGGACGCTTCGAGCACCGGCATCATCATCTCGAGGACGCGATTGCGAGGGGAAATTAATTAGCGGGGAATGCGGGATTATTCCGATCGACTCGCCCTGTCGAGTGATAGTACGATTATCCGGAATTTATCTTGCGGGAGAGAATAGCGTCGTACAATAAAACGAAGTAATTGCGAACAATTGGAAGTGCGATGATTTCACGCCGATAAAATCAACATTCAATTTCTAGTAATTTTAGCTGACGATAAAAAAAATCAATCTTTTCAAGTTAAAGTTATCTCCTTCGATATTGAACAGAAATGATTTATATAATTGTTTAATTTCTGTTTATTTAATTTTTTTTAACTTTCGGACCTTTCAGCTTTCGCAGCATAGAAGTCTTTCTCTCCGATTGTTTATGCTTTATTTGTCGTTTTCAATGAATGCAATTCCCACGTTTCGCGAAGCGTCCCTCGAGAGATGTCGAAATAATGCGCGCCCGAGTATACACACAATCTCGACGTGTCTATGTTGAAGCAAGAAATTTCCCAGCAGCAACAGCAGCTGGAGTGTTTCTCGTTACGGAGATAATCTCTCCGCGCGCGCACAAATGGATCGCTCGAGAGAGAGAAAGGGAGAAGAGCAGCGTGTGTTTGCGCTGGCTGATGCGCCGAG